ATGGTCCTGAAGGAAAATTAGACAGGCAATCATAGACCCACGTTGGGGAAGTTTCGTCCTCATTGGGCTGACCCTAGTTGTTGAAGAAAATATTGTTCTCGGCGCGAGGCTGTCATTTTGACTGATTTGGGATGGTTTGGAACACTAACCATGTAATTTAGATCAGTTAAAAAGATATGTATAATGAAGCATTGCATCAATGTTAAAAAGAGCTACATTAGACCCTGAATTTCTCCTCGGAAAAAAGATAATTATGTATCGGAAAGATAATGTAAGGCAGCCCTCTTTGGGCGCGGTCTAAGCATTAATAAAAAAATAATTTCATATTCTCATTCTTCTTGCAAATAAAAAAAAAGAGGAAAGAAAAAAACAAAAGAAAAGAAAACCCGCTAAAGTCGAAAACCCGAAAGGGCGGCTTTAAGCAAAAAGTCGGGGGCCCGGCTTAAGTTAAAAAACCCGGGGGAAAAAGGGCGGCTTAGGCAAAATGGTGGTAGCTCGCTTAGTGAAAACCCGAAAGGGCTGCTTAGGCAAAAAGTTAGAGCTTGAATTAAATAAAGTTGGAAAATGCTTGAAAGCATAGAAGCCAAATGACATTCTGCAATTAAGCTTTAAAAGTCAAATCTCATTCTTAATTAATAGCCCAAAGTCAAGCACGAAAGCAATTAAAGTCCAAGCAAAATAAACAAATGAATGAAGTCCTAAATCCAAAGCAAAAAAAAAAAAAAAACACATATGTCAAAATCCCAAAGTCAAAAAAAAAAAACAAACAGAAAGGCCTATAGGAGACTAGGTGTCCCGCGCCTCCGTGGGGGCAACATCCTACCGAAGTTTCATCCCTAGCTTGTTAAACTCTGGTCCAAACCTCGCCTGTCCGAGGAGCCAACACCCAATCTACTCACCAGTCCAAACCCTCATCATCAAGCGTCAGCCTGAACCCAACCTTCGAAAGTTGCACTCAGCAGTGCCATCCTCCTTGGCCTTCAATCGGCTAGAACAAACGAGCGATTAACCAGGTCTGATACTCAGGAGAAGTCTGAAACACTCAGGATTAGTTAAAGGCCTAACCATGTGATATCTCAACCCAAAGCCCTAAGGCGGGCTCGGTAACACCCGGAGTTCGATGTCTGAGTCAGATGAAAATGTCATCCATAATCGGAACAGTCTGTCTATCCCCATCTAGCCTCAAAAACGCGCGAAAGCGCAGAGTACCAAGTACAGTGTGTAAGGCCTAAAAGGTAAACCCGAGTATGGCGGAAGCTACCTGGATAAAGTGGTGATGGCATACCAGGAAAATGAACCACAAATACCTCATTTGACCCAAAACTCACAATCAGCCACGAGGTCCAGCATCAGGAGACGGATGATGAGATCAAGATCCTCGCATATGATACTGGGGGGGCTATAGGGCAAGAGATAGAGAGCAGCAACTACTTGGAGGTGCGTCCTTTAAACCAAACCTGAGTTAAATGGATCCTTTCATTACAAATGAATGGACCAAAAGAAAAGAAGAATAAATTAAGGAAAAGGAAAAGGGGAAATACCTGGAGGAATAATCGGAGAGGACCTCCAATCATCAAAGCCTAAAGCAGCTTTGTCAAGGCTCTAATGGTCTCTGCCAGCACAATGCCGCCAATACAACCCATATCCTCCATTTACTGAACTATGGGTGCTGAGGCGCAAATCCCCAAAGCCTGGGTCCCGGGTTGAAACAAGAAACAGGCCAATAAGCAGAAAAACCAAGGCCCGCATTCTCAGCCTCATCCGCCGTGCTGGGTCGTCTTGAGCAAGCCTCTGAAAATTCGTCGATCAAGGGGCAGCAGAATTGCTTTTCTGGTCATCAACAATCATAGCCTAGCTTTGGGGTCGGCTCTGAATTGAAAAAGGCTTTTCAAAATGACCGGACATACCCAATTTTTACCCATGCTTGACTAAAAGGGTCATTGGGGGTCGCACCCTATATAGCACAGAATTCCTCAAAAAAGAGGCACCATCTCTTCCATCATGGCCCCGAACCGGGAAAAACTTTGGCCTCCGGGTCCCAAAGTTCTAATACAGCCAGTAAAAAAATCCCAGTCAACTTACCACCCCCCTAAGAGTAATGATAGCGAGAGAGGACGGTACCTCCCCAAGTTGATCTTTTCGACTTTGGAGAGACTCCTAGTCCAGCTGTGCATGCTATGGTTGTAAAAAGGATTCATTGTTTTTCTTTTTTTGAAAAGAAAGAAGGAAGAAAGGGAGAGAAAAGATGAAGAAACCTGACTGAAAAACTGCTTCTTTGGCTCGAATTCGAAAAGAATGAATGAAATCGTGAAAAAAAAGGGCCAAAAGACAGTTTTATAGGAAAAAAACGCGCCCGGAGGCAGCGGCCCCCGCCAAAAAAAAAAAATTTTTTCCAGTACCATAAAAAAAATTTTTTCAGAAAAAATTATTTTTTCCATAGAATGGTGGAATGAAATCCTTTTTTTTTTTTTCTTTCAAATTAGTAATTCATGCATACATATAAGATTTTAGTACTACAAAGTGTAGCGTACAGTCAAAGTTCAGTACAGAAATGCAGGTAAAGAAAGAAAACAGGGAATATCTAGCAAACAATCGTGATGGGGCCTCCTCCCTCCTCTGCATCATCAAAGGCCTTATGAGTCCAGGGACGAATTAGGCTCTTTTCTGCATCCCGGAATCAACTCCATTCATCTGATTGGACCAACCCGACAGAACCTTCGGAAACATAGAAAGAAAAATAACAAGTCAATATCAAATCTCTTATGAATCCTTTTTGTGAGAGATTTGTCAGTCTTGACCTCAGTAATGTCCTCGGAAGGAAGAGTCAGGCATCCACAACTCTCCAGGGAGACCTCCGAAAAGCTGGGAGGGCCTCAGGAGCGATAGTAGGGAATTGCTGTAGGGGAAGACGTAGATTGGCCAGGTCTGGGTGAAGCGTCCCAGTAGCCTCCAAAATAAGCCTGGGGAGCTCTGGAAGGACCAAAGCCGAGGCGCCTAGGCCCGGCTCGAGACGTGGGACCCTCAACCGAGTGGAAAGAAGTGGGATCAATCATAGGCCTCCTCCTTGGAAGTCCTAGTCAGGGACCCGAAGCCCGAGAAGAAATGGGGTGCCAAAGCGGCTGGGAAGGAGCCGATCTTGTGGGAAAACTTCATTAAGCGAGACTCCAATGGGCATGCATCAAAGAGATTCTGCAGAACTCATCATTAAATCTCCTCCCATGATGAAACTCCACATGTGGAATACCCTCAGTATGAGCAGCGGTGAGCGTCATCTGCTTTGCTCCTCTCGTCATGTCTCAGGAGGGGAATAAGGGACAGAAACGGGCAGCCTTTATCTGAATTGTCTACTCTCTCGCCCAAATAATATCGCCGCAGGATTGGGGTGCGATTAGGACCACCCTCCGCTCGAGAACAAGGCATCTTGGACCGCTGGAAATCGGGAGATCAACTTGAATCCCAGCTCTGTAAGACGGGCATTTCATACGCCCCCACTCGACCTATAAAAGGAGGGCAAATATGTTATAAATCCTTTTTATTTAACATGATCCAAGAAGCACTAAGCACATACCTTGCCTCTAAGTGCAAAGTATACAAAAAAGCTCTCAGATCCCTCAGCGATTCTTGCGCCCGAACGGTTTTGAAGGTTTGTTCGGTACCATCTCCAAGCCGAAGGAACACAGCCCTAATCCAAGATCAGTATGAATCAGCTCTGGCGCGAATGTAAGGAAAGTACTCAAATGCCAAGTCTGCCAAAATAGAAACAGGAATCATGTGAGAAAGAAAAATCAAATAAACAGAGAAAACACCAGAAAGGAAGACTGTTCTTTACATTAGCCTCCCAGAAGTAGTAGGTCCTGCTGATTTACAGTGGCCTCGACTCAGATCACCCACATTTCATCATACATTGTGGCTCAGAATAGCACCGGCCCAGTCGTTACTCCCCCAAATGGGCAGATTTTTTCCAAAACTCCTCAAGATAGAAGGATGAAACTTCTCTTTCCTATTGGACCAGAAAGTCGAAGCAAACAACAGCAACAAAGTGAATCTGGCCACCTGAGTACCGTCAAGCTCACCCCCCCTGTATCTAGCATAAGAAAGTCAGGGGCCTGGGGATAACCAGCGTCTAGAAACGCTCAAAGCGGGAGTAAGCAGAGCCTGGCTCGACAATCCGAGGTAGGTTCTATCCCGATCAGCTTCCCACCATCCGGTCAGGGGAAGAGATTCTCTGTCCTCCAGTCATCATAAGCTCGATCGGGGCCGAATGCCAGAAGGGATCCCGTGAGATCACAGGGAAAAGTCCGCAGGGTCATTGTCAACCGCCCAAGAAAAAGTGTAAGTATTGGTGGTGTCCCACCATCTCTCCACCCAAAAGGCGCCCAGTAACTCCTTGTGGCTGCTCCGACCCATGTCAAAATGCCTCAGATAGCCTAGATAAGACGGGAC